GGTTGGAACTAGATGGTCTTTAAGGTCCCTTCCAACCCAAACCATTCTATGATACATACATAATTACTATTTTTATGGGGTTTTTTTCCATATGTACAGAAGGATCACCTGAATAGGGTACATTTATGACTACATATTTGTATCTATTTATATGTCCATTGTGTCTTACTTGAAAAATAATCTCACTTACTTCAACACTGCTGTCATAATGTAACATAACACAAACAACAAGACATGCTCATCAGTAAATATTTTCATTGTGAAAGATCACATAGCAACATGTAAGTATTCTCAAGAGGCAGACACAAGTTTAAAACTAATTAAATTTTCTACTTTTACTAAAATTAATTGAAGATAAATAAACTGTGTAATACACAGGCTAATGAATAATCTTTGTAAATTACAACTATTGACTTCAGGGAGCTTGTAATACATGAATAAAAAAACCTTAAGAGTTTAAAAAAATCCTTATTCTTAACATATATGGATAACATACCCATATGTTATGGTTACATTATGTATCCAGTATCCAACATTGTGATCACTTGTTTCCCTGAAATTTCAAGACATGTCATGGGCAGACATGTACTTTGGCAGAAAATTTTATTAGAACCCAGGAAAAACAGTAGGAAGGAGCATATACATTTTTCCCCACATCGCTTCATTACGCTTCTACTATTATGTAACTGTATCAGTGTTTATATTTTCTGATCAAGCCTGTTCTTGTTTAAGAAGCAAGCAAGTAAATGTGAGCTGTGTTGCTTTGAAAAATACAGAAACTAGAAAAATATAAAAATGTGAGGATTGTTTCCATTTTGCTCTACTCAACAGCTACAGTTTTAAATATTGTACTTACAAGAAATCCCAAAGGACATAAATTTTCTTTAAAACAGAAGTATTACTGCTGAGCATACCTTACCTCCCTGTCTACTGTTAGCATGACAATTAAACTGCTATAAAATTATGTATCATTTTAATTGCATGGTTCTTGATTTTTTTCGTGTCCCATTAGGCAATGGCACAAAAGGAAGATATGGAAGAAAGAATAACTACGCTGGAGAAGCGCTACCTCAGTGCACAGAGAGAATCCACCTCCATACATGATATGAACGATAAGCTGGAAAATGAACTGGCAAACAAGGAAGCCATCCTACGTCAGGTGCAGTATCTGCATTAGTCAGTTGCTTTCTTCATACGTAATGAAAAGTAATGCCAAAAAATGGAGTAGGACAGTAGGAGGTCTCTATTCAGTTAATCTGTTCATTTTTAATCAACAGATCAGTTAATCTAAAAGAGCCCTTAAGTTGTTCAGCATCTCAAACTTCATATCAGCTACTGCAACCCTGAATACCAAATCAGTGTGTACATTCAACATTGGAAAACAGCTGTGTTTTCTAATAAATGCTCACAGTCATCTCTCCTAAGTAAAGAATTATATTTGCTTCATAAGTAACAATTTTCTGAATTTTATTTAAAAAATAAATAAATCCAAAAAATGGTAGAAGCAAAAGAAATTCCCTTCTGCAGGAAAGACCAAAATTTGCATACCATATATTCTAATGATTTCATGTATTAGTAGAGTGCAAACTTAAAATTTTGAAAAGCTAAACTATCCGTGAATATGTTTTAGAAAAAAGAGTGTAACATGATCTTGCAGCTTTCTCTCACAGTACTTTGTTTCCACAGTGATTCCAAAAGCTGAAGTGTAAAGTGAACAGAAAACACTGGTTTGTAATTTGAAGAATACAACGTGAACTGAAAGCTAACATGAAATTAATATAATTCAAACTGTGAAAGATGAAATTGCTCCTCAGCCTCAGTATCAGACTTCTTTATTTTTTTCCACCTATCATGTCTTCAAACAATATAAAATGCTATATGGGAAACAGGCCTGTATGATCTGATAATCTCTGCTTCTGTGATTGTATGTAGATATATTTGCACACACATGCACACATCCCTCTGTGTGTGTGTATATATGTGTATGTGACTACTACTTCAGGGAAATTAAAGCAACAGAACTCAAACTCTCCAGCTTCTGCCAGATTCCTCTAAGGAATCTTAAGAGGTATCTTCAATTGTTAGAAAAAACCCCACCCAACAATGGAAAAGTAAGGTACTTTCATCTGAGTTTACATTACTGCCAGTGTAAGTCAAGCTGTGCTGCAGAGGTCTGCCTCCTCAAAGCAATGATGACAGAGCTATGCCTAGCATATATACAGGCAGACTTAAAGTTGATTTACAGCATTGTGTTATGAAAAATCTACCTTTTCATGCTTTTGAAGGATTAAAAAGGAATCTAAAAGCACACTGCCTTTTCATTATCAAGCTGTTCAAAAATTCTTAATCATGAGGTGCATCTCAGTAGGCCAGAAAGTATTGCAGTTATCAAAAGTCCTCCTGTTTCTCTCTTATTAATCAACTTCACCACTGTAAAATGAGACTTAATTGTAGATTCACAATGAACAATATCACTGCAATCTTAAACAAATAGCAGCCAGGTTATCTTCATGAATGAAATGTCATTTTAGTATTTCTTAATATATGATTGGCATTTGTACAGAAAATTGCATTTGGCAGTTTGTTTGGAAACTTTGCTGGGAATTGGATCCTCTTGGATAGAATCTGGATATCCTTCTTTCCCATTTTAGCTCGTATATAAACTTTTCTGTGAGAGGGGCTAAATATTTTATTAAACATTTTATTTTTAAATATTTTCATTTAGAAAATTCTCATTTTACTGGCACCAATACTTTTATTTTCTCAGATAAGTAACACTTTGATCAGAGCAGCTTTTTGTTCATCTTCATTACTGTCACTTTGCAACTCTTTTTCTTCACCTTCATATGATCCCTGAGCCTCAAATCACTCATCATTAGAAAGACTGGCAGCCTACACTGTTCCATGCTTGGGTGAATACCTCTCCAACAAGCTCTCCTAGGTTGTGGAGTATCTGTGTCTATGTAGTGAGTTTTGATCGCTTTCATGATACTTAAGAAACTGAAGGAAAATCATAATTCTGATTATTTTTTCTATACTGGTTTATCTGTCTTTGGCCTTCAGTTAGAAGACAAAAACAGACAGCTGCAAGAGCGTCTAGAGCTGGCAGAGCAGAAGCTGCAGCAGACGATGAGGAAAGCTGAAACCTTGCCCGAAGTGGAGGCTGAACTGGCTCAGAGAATTGCAGCTCTGACTAAGGTACTGTCCTGAGAAATAGGTTCACTTCAGAAGCCCCATTGTTTAATGTTGATTTGCATCCCGATTCCTCACCTCAAGGACAAAACGAAGTAGTATCAAGGTGATTTGAAAGAAGAAAACATTTCCTGAAAAGTATGTGCCACAAGTTTAATCGGAAATGGTCTCAATGCCATGTTTGTAATTCTTAGCATTCTGGTAGTAGGAAAAGTAGTTCTCTGTAAGTCAGCCTAGACTATATTTATGGGTGAGTCATATGTTTCCAAAACATGTGAGCATTACTTACCCTAGGAGGGTTCATTTTACTGTGCAAGAGTTTCTCATGTAAGGGGAAATGGGTGGGGGAAGTCTCATTCCTACACTTACTTAGTTCTTGTGGACGTTTTCAAACACCATGTATAGGAAACAATTATTTTCATTCCAGTAAGTGCTGTAAAATCAAACCTTAGTGGCAGCTGTGATCATTTGTACATCGCAAATGAAGACAACTTCCAGTACATACTTAAAAGGTTTGTTTTGAATGATTCTTTGCAACATGTATCTGCAAAGAAAAATGTGAAACCCTGAGAGGACTTCAAACTAATTTTTCTGCTAAACTTATAATAGAAGCTTTCTTGCAGAAAAATAAGAAGAAAAAATAAATTTTCAGTAGTGTGGTTTTCCTATTCGGTCTCTAATACTTTCAGATGTGCACGTAGTTAATACTACAGCTCAGGTATTATCACCTTCAAAACGACATAAAATGATAGTATGTTTATTCGTCATCTCTTAAAATCAGACAAGTAAGGAAAAATGCATTTAAGAGATTGTATTACATATCATTGTTATTTATCTACCTTTCTCTATCGCCAAGGAATGTTTCCAGCTATTTATGTGCCTAGCTATTATTAAAATTGATGGATTTTTTTTCTGTTCTCTTGTTTTTTTCATTTATAGTGAAGCCTTAAGTGTTGAACAGCGCATTAATAAAGTGTGATTTTTAAGTAATTTAATTAAAAAGTAGAAAGAAAGAAGGAGAGGCTTGGATTATTCAGAAATCAAGATTTTGTGCTGTCTGCTTTAGATTTATATGACTGGGTGGGAAACTGAAAGAGGGACTGAAAATGGTGGGAAAAAAAGAGGAATTAGCAAAAAGAGCTACATGAAATACCAAATAAATATAATTGCATTTTATAAAACCTCAGGTGCACATAAGAGCAATCCCTTGGCATTTTAACTTTTTTCAATTGTTTCTGATTCAACAAATAATCACAAATTTTAATGCCCTCAGTAGCTTAAAAATATTGTTTTCTGTTTTAAGAGGATTTTTCCTGAATAATTTCTCTAGCAATTAGGCAGCAGTAAGTATTTTGCAGTCTCAAGCATGTCTTTACTTGCAACTGCATTTTTCCTTAAACACATATTAATGACAAATATTGTAAGAAGAAATCCTATTTCAACCATGAAGAGCACTCAGGGACTTCCATGAGGCACTGTTGTTATTGTGACCATACAGCTGCGGTACACATCTCTGTTTGTCTTCTTACATTATTTCATTGGATGTGGTTAGAGAGCTATGAACAGAGCCGATGCTCCACCCCATTTCACTTTGATATACTTGATCAATTTTTTTGCCAAGCAGGAAACTCTTAAGAAGTTTATCAGGCTGTAATGCCAGTTCTGTTCATTTCTCTGTGATTACATGAAAAATTGAAGAATTTGTTTTTATATAAAATTGTGTCTTGGAATATGACATCAAGAAGAATGTCAGAATTTGGCCAATAGGCCAAATAAGCTTGTGTTGTATATCTTCTAAGCAACATCTTTGCGAAGTGTAGAGCTTATTAAAGTGCTGGTTTAACAGGTGTGAAGTTGAAAGTCCAGTACTTCTCATGGATCACATAAGTATCGGTCAGGACTAAGGATGACGATATAGTCATTGAAGCTCACTTACGCAGTTGTAAATTAGCTAGCTGGTATACTATTACCCAACTAGCTACTCAATGAAAGCTACAAGACTTACCTAAAGGGGCTGAACAATAATGTTGCCTTTGAGCTTTGTGCCAGCGTACATATTGTCAGTAGGGCTCAGGCTACCTTAAGTCTGCCTACCTGAGCTATGGTCTCTGCATGTCCAAGTATACTGAGTAAGAGATGAGCCCCCTGAATCAGCTAGTCTTTCTGCACTGCAGACAAAGTCAGAACTGATTCTCCATTCTTTTGTACTACCTCATTGAAAGTGGCTTCTCTGTGATTAATGGGCTTACAATCATATGAAAGAGGTGAGTTAAGCCTTATATGTTTTACATGTTTTTTAAAGGAAAGTAGTATGGGATAACTGGAAACCATGACTGCTTCACTGTGGGTAAAATATAAGACAAATTATTTACGTGAGAAGGTAAACCAGAACAAACATGTTTTGGATTTGAATGTGATTTCCACCCCTGCCTCAAGTTTAAAACATGCATGTTGCAATTCTGCATTCAATTTAATGTACTCTTCCTCATCATAACTCTGTGTTGGGATTCTGCAAAAGAAGGATGTAGAATGAGATCCTTCTATGGTGTCAGTTTTTAAAATGAGTTGGTTTTCGTTTTTTATATATATGGGCTAGTGAATGTCTTTTGCTACTTTTCCATGCCCAAACTAGTTCAAAAGGAGTGAACTTCCAAAAGTTTGGACTATACAGTGAACTCAGATAAGTACCCATAAATTTACCTGAATCATTTGAACTTTTCTTTGGCTTTGTTTTCACTGTGTTCTGCCCATTGGGTGAGCAACTGGAGGGTTAGTCAGCCTGTGGCAGACTAACCTGGAACGGCATGATCCCATGTACTGTGCTGTCCTGCCTGGCCATCACACTGGTATCTGTCTGGTCGTGACAAGTAGCACAGCTGTCAGCATGTATCCCAAGATTTAGACCGCCATGAGTCACGGGGCCACCTTGTACTCGCTCTCACAGTAGTGATCTGTTTGCCTGCTCTGGAGAACAGGCAGCTGGTAGTAAAAAGAACCTCCCTCCAATATTAACTAAACCTTTCTTTATCTAATAAGATGTTTATTTTCCTCAGAAGGGACAGACATTGGAGCATCCAGAATCTTCAGATGGTTAGTTTGTCAAACACTGTTTCTCCTTGCATGTATTCAAGGAGGGGTCTAGTGGAGACAGCAGCATCCACCAACTTTCATTCACTCACTGCCACCATTAGTCACGCTCCCCCACAGGTGCTTGTGCAGCAGAGGTATCATGTCACTCCTCTGATCATAAGACAGCAGTCAGCATTTTGCCCCATCATTCCTGTATGTAGGTCACCAGAAGTACCAACAGTGTTTTTTAGCCACACTGAGATGGAGAAGAGGAAATCATAATCATAATAAACCACATTTAACATAGTAACACCTTCAGCTTATTTTAAAGGTGATAAAAAATTACTTGAAAGGTGGAGGCAAGTGGGACACAATGCTTGTTTTGTGACAGTGTGGGGATCTGGTTTGCGTTAAGTATGGAATAAGATGCAAGAAAGTGAAAGGAGAAGGCCTGCGGTGGAAAGGGTGCAAAGTGGAGAAAGAAGTTCTCCTGCAAGAAATGGATGTGGTTAAGACACAAGCCTCTCTGACAACAAGAGAGAGAGAGAAAAGATGATGTGTCAGCTGGAGAAGGAAGCTGCTAAATCTTCTACTGGGGAAAAAATATATTCTATGGGGAGGGAAGCCTAAGAGAACTCTACATTTACAACACATTACTGTTTTCTCAAACCAACCCTCTTCTTGTGCTTCCCTTTCCACAGAATATTTTGTCCTGATAAGAGCAAGAATGCAAGTTTGACAGAGCTAAATGAGATAAGTTGCTTATTAAACCTATGAGGTGTAGAACATGGTGGGGAAATGAAAGAGGGGGCAAGAACGTGTGGATATCTAGTGACAGAAAGAGTTTCAGAAAAAAGGAGTGACAAGCAAACATAATTTGTCACATTTCATAGAATCACAGAATGTTTTGGGTTGGAAGGGACCTTAAAGATCATCTAGTTCCAACCCCCTGCCGTGGGCAGGGACACCTTCCACTAGACCAGGTTGCTCAAAGCCTCATCCAGCCTGGCCTTGAACACTTCCAGGGATGGGGCATCCACAGCTTCTCTGGGCAACCTGTTCCAGTGCCTCACCACCCTCTTCGTGAAGAATTTCTTCCTGATATCTAATCTAAACCTACCCGCTTTCAGTTTAAACCCGTTACCCCTTGTCCTGTCACTACAGGGCCTTGTAAAAGAATCCCCCACCCCAGCTTCCTTGTAGCCCCTTCAGGTACTGGAAGGCTGCAATAAGGACTCCCCAGAGCCTTCCTTTTTCCAGGCTGAACCAACCCAATTCTCTCAGCCTGTCCCCATAGGAGAGGTGCTCCAGCCCTCTGATCATCTTTGTTCCCTCCTCTGGACTCGCTCCAACCAGTCTATATCCTTCTTATTTTGAGGGTTCCACAGCTGGGCGCAGCACTCCAGGTGAGGGCTCACAAGAGCTAAGTAGAGGGGGAGAATCACCTCCCTTGACCTGCTGGCCACGCTTCTTTGGATACAGCCCAGGATACAGTTGTCTTTCTGGGCTGGCAGCACACACCGCTGGCTCATGTTCAGTTTTTCATCCACCGGTACCCCCAAGTAACGGATAACGGGTTAAAAGTGAGCATGTGAACAAGTAGCTGATAACTTTGTGAGCTGTTGTTGGCTCAGTCACCATGATCACCTATTTTCACCTTCAATAGCTCAATTCAGTAATGCATTCTTTCTTCTTGAATAACTCACTCATTCAAAGGGTAGCCAAAGGAATGTGTGCCATAGAAAAGCCAGTAGAAAATCTGGAGACAGCAGGTGTTCAAAAGGCAAGGTCTCAAAACTGTGGAAATTGGCTTGTAGTGTTAGAAAAGTTTAGATTTGTTCCTGCAGCTCAGCACGAGGAAGAAAAATTATAGCACCTGTACTGTACAGGTGCTTTCTGCATTTGAAACTGGATTCTTTTTTTTCAGCTAGGATGCAAAGCCCTAGAATATGTGCAGTGCCAACCGTAACAGATGATGTGAAAGCAACATTTTTTTTGTGGGCGCATTAGCAGCAGGAGCAGCAGCAGAATTTTAACAGGGTTAGAGAGCAATAATACAAGCTGCTCCAGTATTCCATCAAAGCAAAATTTTTGTCTGTTACTGGCTTATACTGGCTATTTCTTTGCTATTTCATAGTATATGGAGTGCAAAGTGAGCATTAAGACTCATGCTGGTATCTCATAGGGGTCAGACGTGAGTTTTTGTTCATATATTTTTAATCCAGTCTAAGATGCACAATTTCACAAACCTATTTATAACTGAATGTGCTGGCTAAATGCTTTAAATGGTACTTGCTGAATACCACACCATGTGTCTTACTAATCCTCCTGTACAGAGTACTAGCGAATAGGCATGCAAGTCTTATATTAAAAAGAATTTAGGGTAAGGTCTGCCAAGCAAGAAGTCATGCAAATTCCACTTCAGAAAGTTTTTAACTCAACTCTTAGCAGAGCAATTCAGAAGAAATCCAACTTCTGTTTATGAACCTTGGAGGCCACAGCTGTCCCTTCTGTCTCACGTGTATCTGAAGTTCTGCCACAGGAACATAACTCATACTGGTGTTTCAGCCTCTGCCTCAAACCACCAGGCAGGGACAGAGACATTCAATATTGTTGTAATAGACTCCCAAGTCTCTCAAAGAGCCTATCCTAGTGGGAATGTCTGGGGCTAACACACATGGTCAAAAAAAAAGTGTAGCTGCCACAGATGTGTCAGTCTTAACAGTATGGCATGGGGAAGTCTGTGCAGGAGGTATTTACAAATCCCTTGGGAAATAGCTGAATTTCCAGGTCTTTTTGTCTGGTAGGGTCTCTTTGAGACCCAGGTTGGGGCCTTCATCAGTGTAAAGGGCAACAAGAGGTGTTTAAACGCTCGTTTTGGGAGTGTGTTCCAGCTAAGCACACTAGGAGATGGAGGGGCTGCTCTTTACTAGCATAGCTCTTTGTCTGCAGGCGGGTTTTGAAAAGTGAGAGAAGGAGGTATGTTCATGAGTTTGTCTCCCTAGCCCTTCCACAGAACACCCTTTTGATTCATATCCCTGCTGCAGGGGCTGCTCATGCATTTGGCACGTAATAACCGGTGGTTAAAATCCCGAAACAGCAGTAGAGCCCAGGTTAGGTGCTAAGGCTGCACACCTGCACTTGTTCTCTGCCAGACAAGCCGTTGAGCATAATTGTTTAGTGTCTCAGCTATAAGGTAATTTGGTTCCTTTGGAGTAATGCAGAATAACACTTTAGGAACAAACAAATGAAATTAACATAGGTAAAGGCAACATAAAATATTCAAATACATTGTGTTTAGAATAATAACATTTATTTTGATTCTAAGGTGTATTGTATTTTAATTAATTTAGCAGTCTCTTTATCCTACCAAAGAGATGCAAATAGAGATGAATGTGGAGATCAACTCTGTTTTCTTTTATGCTGGAAAATAAACGACAGATTCTCTGAATCACATTCAGGAAGATTTTTTAAAAAGGATGTACCTATCAACATTTTAATATTCTTAGTAAAATAACTGAAAAATGTCATGCAAAAGGATTTATATCTTAAACGTATACCTTACTGAATTATTAAAGCAGTAGGAATTTATGAAATAGCAGAATTAGGTAACTATAAGAATCTTCAGAGAACATCAGGTTCTTTAAAGAATGTTTGCGATACATAATTCTGACAACAATTTTATTCCTCCTCTTCTTCCAAATAACTGTTAGGCGTAACACCAAAATTATTTTATTCATTGAAAATACTGTTTCCTGCTAAGGAATAAATTATGGCATGGTTTAGACTGAAAATGTATTTTTTTAGTTTGAAAAATAAATGTCAATGATATAACTAGCTAGACCAGCTTCTTAAGGACAGGTTTTGACAGACAGCATTACATTTCAGAAGACTTAAATGAGATCCCCTTTGAACCTAGAAGTATTAGTTTGGTTATCGTCATATTTTGCATTAATCTGTAATGAAGTGTATAGAAGCAGTGAAGATTATGTACCTTGCTTTTAATGTTAGCAGCCAGCTAATGAAGCTTCTAAGTAGTTTAATTTTGTAGGATGATAGCCCCAATGACAAAGGAGGTAGAATTACTTAAGCCTTCTCCATCATCAGCTCAGAGCTTTGGTGATTTCAAATCTTCTCCTGACCCTTGGAGATGCATCAAGGGGAGGCCTTGAACCAATAGTGCCGCCAGGACTCAAAAAGGGGGAAAGTCCATCTTCTACAGAGAAGGATAAATCTTGGTCACTTTGTGGAAAGGATTGCATAATCTGGTTTTCTGCAATCATAGGGACTTAACTTTTTCAACCCTATCTTTTTGTTTATCCAACTGGGAGAGGAAGCAGTGCATTAGTATTTCTGTGCTGAAACAGACTAATATGTAGAGCTAAAATATAAGCTAAAGAAAATCATAAATGTATTGTCACTGGTCCAAGTCATAATAAATAGACAGAATAGTCTCAGATAATTAATAAGTTCAAATACATCACAGTACGCCTGCTTCATGATCAGAAACAGTAACTGCACTTATTAAATGAGCTTAGTTACAGAGTATACTGACTCCCTTAAATTTTGCATGAATCTGAGTTTTGTGAACATACTTTCTTTGAAAAGAATTGTAGTGTTCTTCGAAGTTAGGCATTATTCTTGTATTTATACAAAGCAGGATTTTCTCATATGGATGTTTTCATATCAAATACTGTAGTTTATAAATGTCTAGATCACAGACTTGATCTGAATGATCTTTTGGTTCTGATAATACTACTGAGTTTAAGTTATGGGTAATTTTAAATTATGATGTACATCTGGAATTACTTTGGTATCTATTCCTAAGTATTCTTATACATTATTAGCAGACAACAGTATGAAAAACAATATCGCTAAAAAAATACAGTTGTAAAATCAGTATTTCTTGTACATCTTAAAGTTTGTTCAGCTAAAGATGGAGTTCAGGTTCTCTTTTTCAAACAGGGTAAATCTGACAGTGAAATACCATTTGACAAGCACGAGCTCACAACTCAATCATCAGTAGCACTGTCTATATGCCTTATGCACATTCCTGTTTCCATAGCAACAAATCCAATATAGAAGTTCCTTTTCTTTAAGGGCTTTTTTTTTTTTTTTTGAATTATAACAGAGACTTCTTTGATATGACAATAACATGAATATTCATGTTTTGTAACTAGTGACCTAATTAAGGTCAGCTTCCGCCAGAAATAGTAATGAATCTTTGGATGGATTACCATTTCTATACTCAGTGATATACTCAGCCTTTTCATTCCTATTAATGAATTTTTATTTATAGGTTCTTCTTTTATCTGATGACCTTGATCTTCCAAAGAGATCCACCAGGGTGGATCCTTTCAAAGGGTTGAAAACTATATTGTTTATTTGGATGAAAGGGCTTACATAGTGTATTCTAAAATGGAATACTTGAGCCTTGTCTCTTTTGATGTTTTGTCTGTTTTCTAGAAATTAGGGAATGTACCATAGCATTGCACTGTTCTGTAACTGACCAATCCATTAATTTAGTATTTATGCATTGTTTTCATTCCTAGAAAATTATAGAAGAATTACAAAGGACTTTCTGACATTGGCCTCACAGCGGCCTGTCCTGGCATTTAGTTTGTCATAATTCAAAAAAACCCCATTAGATTAGACAGTGTTGCTTTGAATCCACTCTGTAGTAATATGTCATCAGCCAGCCATCACTAACCTTGAACCTCCATGTGTAGGTTGATAGCTTTTTCAGCATTCCATTATTTTCAGTTTCTCCTCATCAACTGCATCATGTTCACCAAGTATCAGTGTAGTTTATTCCATGTAAAGATCTGTCAGTTAAAAGTATTAAATTTCCAGTCATACTTTTCTTTTAAGCATTCTGTGCTGTGTTCTGTTCAGTGTCAGTGTCTTTAGTTCTGATTTTTCAATTTTGTCCCTCTCCTTTTCCTTGACTTGTTAGTCTGATCCAACCTCTTCTACCTCATCTGATGATTATCAATATGTTATGGAAGCTAAACTACAAGAAATGATCTCCATACGTAGGAAGGTAGTCCTACTGGACTTTACTTTCTATTGCTAAATAGAATCCATCTGATTTGTTTTCATTTTCTTTAACTTATTTTATTTTTTATTTTATTGATAATCAACCATCGTGCAGTTCAGTGCTTCAGGAGCTTACAATTTTACGATGGCAGGTTTGTGTTCAAACCATGCACAGTCTGCATGTTACATTTGGCTGATTTCATTGCTCATAAATAATTCCAATGTTTTGCTGATGCTTGGATGTAACAGGCCTTTGTAGCTGACACATTTCAAGCAATGCTGTTCAGCTGCCTGTTTAAATAAAGTTTCTTTTCGGAAAACTAAGTTTGCAGTTAGTAGTAGCTTGCTTTATGTTTTGTTTAAACTTTACTGAGATAAAAACTTACAAAGCCACTTAAATTACAGAAAGTGTCTCTATTTTCTTACAGGCAGAAGAAAGACATGGTAACATTGAGGAACGTATGAGACACTTAGAAGCTCAGCTTGAAGAGAAAAATCAGGAACTTCAAAGAGTATGTGCATTTCAGGCAATTTCTGTGCATTTTCCTTCTTTAATTTGTCAACATAGTGCTACATTATACACTCCAGCACACAGTCTTTCTACTGGTAAATGTTTTATTTATAGCAGTGGTGGCAGCATCTTCCCACTTTACTTAACCATCTTAATATACTAGTTTACATCTAGTTGCAGTGTTCAGAGTATTTTGCTGATACAAAAATGAATGTGCATTAATCAGTTATTACATTTCCTGTGGAATTTCTTTAAATGGCTACAGTTACCATATTTTTTTTTTAATTATACAAGTCTGTACTGATTAATTTTGGACCCTACCAATCTTTCTCTTCCATTCTACATTAAAGGCAAGGCAAAGAGAAAAGATGAATGAGGAGCACAACAAAAGATTATCAGATACTGTAGACAGACTTCTGACAGAATCCAATGAGCGTCTGCAGCTACACTTAAAAGAGAGAATGGCAGCACTTGAAGAAAAGGTACAGTGCAAAGAGCAGTATAAATTTCAGCTTAGTAACAGTTCTCCTGCATGAAACATGTTCTACTCTTACCAGGATGGAGGCATCATGCCGATATTGTATTACCAAATATTGCCAGAAATATGGTCTAACTTACACATTCAACTCTTAATTCAAGAGCACGCTGAAGCATCTTTCCAGAAGTACTGTGAATTGGATATGCTCCCTGTTTTATCAGCGAAGGGTCTGATGAAGAGCTTGTAAAGGACGAGGGTACTGCCGGGTATGAGGCAGTGACAGAAATTGGTCGAGAACTGAGGCATGGCCATGCTTCACATGTGCTGTCGTTCCTGTATTTTAACCTGCTGACTTACCTCACTTCCTCTGGGAAGAGTAAAATGCTGCAACCACATCAGAAGGAGCATCTACCCTTAGAGAGGAAATGCTATTTACAGGTTTTCTGTGATGTGAGACACAGTGTGTCTGCAAAATTCAAATCCCTTGACACCTATATTCACCCTCCTTAATCCCTCCCTCTTCTACTTACTCACCTTCAGTTTGATTTGAGGGGAATCTTTCAGTGTCTTTCAGAAGGATATTTCAGAACCGCTCAGAGAATGTACTTCCGGTTTATATCACTGAAACAAAATCATATATGAAGCAAGAAATAGTCCTGTCAAAAGAAGAACCTGGTAGAAATAGTTGTGTAAGCATGTGACAGTTCAAGGAAGATGCAAAGTGTTTGCTGTTCTTGAAAAAACATGGTCCTACATGTTTGGTTTATTTCCATACATATGGAAATATATGTGTATATATACTCAAACTGTAGCATTGAAGGATTTGAAGTCCAGTGAATATGAACTTTGATAACTTGTTCATGGAAGCTAAATGTATATGGCGATCTCCAATATTTAACCTATCTCCCATTTCTTTCTTGTGTGTTTTGTTTGTTTCTTTTTTCTTCTTTTTATTTCTAGAATGTTTTGATTCAAGAATCTGAAAGTTTTAGGAAAAATCTGGAGGAGTCTTTACATGACAAGGTACAATAAAATACTGTGATTTTATCTGGTTTTATCAAAATTGATATATTTATTATTTAGAAATATGTGTATGGTATATTAATTATCCAACTAGCCTGTACAATGTTCCTGACATCAATGATAATTGCTTTAATCAGCCAGATGCCTGAACTAGCCTTTAAGGGTCTCTAACAGTTGTTCTGAGCTAAGTTCATGGTTGAGAACCTAGCCTCAGGAAGTCAATACTAAAATTCATATTGATTTCACTAACTCTGAAATTTTTGTTCTATCAGTTTGAATTCTGAAAATGTCTTGGTTAACAGAGATGTATCCATAACTGGTTACTCTTTCATAGTGAAGAATGTAATTGCTTGATTTGATGCAATTCTTCTTAACAGGTGCAGTGGCATTATGCTAAATATAGCTGAAAGTGACCTTTTTTAGTTCATTGCAAATTAACCCCTAATAGTGTTTAGTGAGTCAGTCAAATTAATTACAAATGTTTGTTCTAATCCCAAATGTTGGTATTTTGTTTTGAAGTTACACTTGCCTTGAACACAGTAGGATACACAGATGTATCTGCATTCAGATTCACAGAAGTGTTTTTGTAGTGTATCAAATCCACTTAGTTTTATAGAATTTAAAAGGCAGAGCTCCATTCAATACTAATAGAATTATATCATATGATATTCAAAATCAAAAACTTTGAGAAAATTAGCAAAAGGAGTATCTGTTCAAATAAATTATTTTCATCTACATACAGATAACCTTGTAGAAACGCAGCGAGATTAAAGTCCCAAAAGGGAGCTTGTATTGCATTTTGGATAAAATTTCTGTGCTGTACTACCATAGTGATAAGGTGATTCAGCTGTTGCAAAATCAAGATCATACTTCACCATCAAGTTAGATAACAAAAAGAACATTTATAAAGCTGTGTTAATTGAAGAAAAATTTTCTGTCATTCTGCTACCAGAGAGTCTAAAACTGAATTATGGATACGAATTTGCCTGTGTAAATAAGGTATTTTTCCAATGTTATCTCCAACAGAACTTTATTGTTTTAATAGTGTTAGGGAATAGTGGAAGTGAATACAGTGGCTACTTCTTTTTCTGTCTGTTTTCTGGCTTGAATCTACATGTTTCCCATTGACAAAGATGAAAAATCAGGTATAAAAATGTTTTTGCAAAGATATTTTTATTTTTTATATTTATTGATTCTTGCTTAAGAGTGGGAAGGGGAATGAACACCTCCACCGCCGCTCCGTGCAAGTGGAGATGAGCTCTCCCCTAATGAAGCAATTTTAGATAGATGGTCACAACAGCAGATATTAGTAATCTCTAAATAACTATCAAATGATACAAGCAGAGTGACCACCAAGTCATCGCAGTAATTCTATTCAACCAACAAGTGGTGTAAAAACACTGTAATAAGAATTACTGAATCTGATCTTACAGATCCTTTTCCTCCCTAGCATTTTGGATTCCTGAACATTTTAAAATCTAGGAACAGCAGTGTTACGTCTTCATCCCATGTTTCCTTTTCATTTCTTTTAAAATTCTTTTATTTCATTCTATTAGTAGACCATAATTCTTTGTGCAATTTGAGAACAGCACTGCTTTCCCTAGTGGTTGCTGTCAATAGACTTTCGTTAGTTGGTTCCAAAAGTCCAATTTTTGTGGCACACACTCAGTTTTCACCAGCAGCACCTCATACTGGAGTTAATCAACCCAACCCCCAAGAGCAAGCTGTAAAGCTCCAGATCAACAAGTCCCTTAAAACATGATTGCCTCTAAGTCTGTGTATCTATTAGCAAGTAAAAAGGCCAGGACGTAATCTCAGTCTCTAAAGGGAAAACGGAGCATTGCGCCCTGAACTGTGCCTGACACAGAGAGTGCAGGTAGTGCACAAACCACTGCTGGTTCTTCTTTTACTCACCCTAGCTGTATAAGAAGAAAAAGTTTCAAGCACAAACCTGTCCTGCCATCATGTACAGCTAGTGGAAAAACAGTAGAGTGCAATACAACCTCCTCTTGAGGCATATGACTTATTACTAATAACGAGACTTGAATGCCTTTTCTAATTGTAGTCAGTGCTACATTCAGTGTATCATATCATACGTGTTTAGCTTTATGAGAGCAATATCTCATAAAGTAAATGTATTTTGTATCACAAGTAAATACACCTTGCTATGCTCGTTACCAGGAAAGACTTGCCGAAGAAATTGAGAAACTGAGATCTGAACTGGATCAAATGAAATTGAGGGCTGGTTCTTTAATTGAACCCACCTTGTCAAGGTAATATTTAATGACAAAAGTTTCCTCACTTTATGTTGAAATAGAACATGAATTTAAATGTCAAGCCTTTACAACAGGGATGTGTTCAGACCACGCATAAAAATAGCCATGTGTTTCTTTAAATATGTAAAATCTTTGCAGTTATTATTACTATTGCTTTTTACTTCTTTCATAGGTTAACAGGGCCTTACTGCAGTGAGTATACACTGAAATATTACTGAGATTAAGGAAAGCCTTTTAAATTTTGGAATGTTCTCAAAAGTATATCCCAATACCAATTTTTTCCCAGGAAACCTTACAAAGTTGAAACTATTGTCTTTAATGCTGACTCTGATTGGCATATTTATATTTATTCATTCTATCAGTTATATCTAATAATTCTTTTTTAATTAGCAAGACATAACTCAGCTTTGCTTAATGTGTAGCATAACACCACAGATCTTCAGCTAAAGATGAAGGCAGTATTCAGAGAGATCTGACAGTACCGTAACAGGACATTAAACATTATGTGTCGTTTTGGCAGACAAAGAATATGGGAACAATAGTTTGATGGATACTGTAGAAATAGCTACTAACAGCTGGAATGAATTTGTAATTCTAGAGAGTCCTCCTTGCCTAAAAGTATCCCACAAAATAGAATTGCTACTTTTTTTGATAATTGGGCGTCATGTCCTGTTTTCATAATAAGCAACGTGAACTTTTAAAACCTGACAGAAAAAGCTCATAGACCAAGACTAAATTCATAACACTACCATCCTCTATAAAGTTATTGGATTTTTTTTTTTCTTGAATCAGTTATTTTCCACCCATTGCTTCCTCAGATGTCTTGCTTAGTAGCTAGACGTGGTTTCTCCCTCGATCTTCTATTGTCTCTTAGAATAATATTTTTCTATAAAGGAAGAAGTGTACATTGCTGATATTCAGAACCTGACGCTTGTAACTGTTGGCATTTTTGTTCCTTTGGGAGTGTAAATGTGGCTACAGGCACACAAAATATTTTTTTGAGAGTGCTGTGAGAACACAGACTGCCAAACTGCTGCAACACACAGCTGAGATGGTTTTGGAGCAGCCACCCTTGGTGAACAGCAGCCTTTCTTGCTGGGTAGATGAGTGTCGCTAGCTTGTGCTCTGTAAATAGGAGTCTGATTAGCCCATGTCAGAGAGCTGTTTAAACTTGGTAAGCTATCAGAATGTCTTGGGAAATCAGCAGGTTCCCCTAAAACAGTATACTTCCCCTTCCATGACCTCACCTTGGGAAGCTACCAGCCCTCTCAGGAACAGGGAGCTATCAGCATCAAATTCGTACTGTTCTCGGCCTATATCCAGTTCTATATTTGCAGGGGTTTATTCTTTAAGCAGAAGAATAATGAAGATTGTCAGCAGATAATTATCTGCTGCCAGAAACTGGAACCTGGGCTGGGTTTTTTCCTGTCAACTTGCTGCACAAGTAACATGTATTATCAATTATCAGAGCAAAGCTCTTCTACAGCAAATACTGTACAGAGAAAATAAAAAACAGTCACTGCCCTAAAGGGTTTACTATATAACAGATGAGACATACAGACAAACCAAGCATAAAAACCCCCAAAAGTCTGCTGCTGTAGATGGAGGGTTTAGGACATTTGTAGCCCAACTGCTGTCATGTTTTCTTATTAATACAATGACAGGAGCTTTAGATAACTTTTTAAAAGGTAAAAGTCATAATTTTTCTAAAATTCTGGGAGTTCCTGTCAGGCATGATGGAAAGTGTAAGAGAAGATAAACTGAAGGTTGTTCAAAAAAATGTATGTATGACAAAAGCATGAATTCTGATGTATGCTTTACCCAAAACTGAAGTTCTAAAACATTATTCAATATCTGTGGCAATTTCACAGATTCACAGAGTGGTAGGGTTTGGAAGGGACCTCAACCCCCCTGCCAGCGCAGGATCACCTGGAGTAGATCACACAGGAACTAGTCCAGGAGGGTTTTGAAAGTCTCCGGAGAAGGAGACTCCACCCCCTCTCTGGGCAGCCTGTTCCCGTGCTCTGTCACCCTCACAGGGAAGAAGTGTTTCCTCATGTTCAGGCTGAACCTTCTGTTTACCAGTTTATGGCCATTGCCCCTAGTCCTGTGGGGCCCCCTGGGTGACTGGGGACCACTGAAAAGAGCCTGGGCCCATGCTCCTGATCCCCACCCTGTAGATATTTATAAAAATGTATGAGATCCCCCTCAGCCTCCTCTTCTCCAAGCTAAACAGACCCAGCTCTCTCAGCCTTTCCTCAGATGGAAGGTGCTCCAGGCCCTTCATCCTCTTAGTGACCCTGCACTGGGCCCTCTCTAGTAGTTCCTTGTCCTTCTTGAACTGAGGAGCCCAGAACAGGACACAGCACTCCAGGGGAGGCCTCACCAGCACAGAGCAGAGGGGGAGGATAACTTCCCTCTATTTAATGTATCTGATTTGATTGCTGTGGCACATTTCAGGATTTCCAGTGCCTCTTCTTAGAATTTGTTTTCTTACAGTATGTTTCATAAAAGAAATTACATCAGTGCTTGAAATCCTTCCATTCTTATTTTAGATTTGTCACAGCCCTCATAATACCTGACAGCAATTACATTTCTCCATACCCCACTGTCACCGTAGTTTTTAGTAGAGGCTTTCTTTTCCCATTGATCAATAAACAGGCATCATAGTTGTAATATTTTATCTTTCACTTTTTTAAAAGGATGTTTGGAATTTGAGACCAATGCTTCAGTCCTCCAGTATGAGTATGTTTTAATTCCAGTTAAGTCCTTCTCAAGGAAAAGAGAATCTCTGTGTTTAGAAACAGAGCCCTCTATGTTTAGAGCCCAGGAAAAGTCACCAGGTTTCAGCACAGATAGGTATGGTTATTTGGAAAGCAGATATTCTCTTAATTAGCTTTTTTTATGTCTAAGATTAAAGCCATCGTTTTCTCAAACAGCATTCCTTTCAAAGTGTGAGAAATGTTTAAGGACAAAGCTTATTCGTATTTTGCAGCCCAAAACTGTTTATTAACATTGCTGTGAACCCTGTAAGTTCGCTGTAGGTGATTGTAAGCATTTTCCCAAGTTAAAAAAAAATCAATAATATAAGTACAACATTAAACTCTCATTTTATATTCTTATAAAGAGTGAAATGTCAAGCATGAAGAGTTGCTATAAACAAATACATACCTAGTTGTCTTATTAGTGTAGTATTTGTTAATATTTCATATTTCTACTATAATCATGCTATTCATGTATTGTTATGTGGATATTGCTTATGTGTTAAAAACTAGAAATTGTTCATGTCTCCACTGCTGTGGCTGAATGCTCAAATGGTGCATGGAGCCTTTCTCTTCTGGCTTGGCTACACAGCCTGTGGCCAGCATGCTTCTATTGCACCATGCAGGGAACTTTACTGCTGCTGTTTGACCAAGGACAGAAAGGCCAGGTACTGTTGCCTGCAGCCAAGAAAAGGCATGCTGACATCATCATGTATGTGCCTCACCCCAGTGTCCCAAGACTTTCTAGGACTACAGGAAAAACTGGGTGTTAAAACTCTCAAAAGCATCATCAAATAAAGATGAATAATTCATAACCAATGTTATGTATCACCAGGGAGTTCACTAATATTTTCAAAATGTGGAGCACAGACGTACAGTAGGAAAATGCTATAGGTAGCCTCACTCGTGAGCATGTAATGTGCTTACAGTAACCTCAGGCATATTTATTCAGGAAGGCAATGGAAGGAAACTATACAGGACAGAACATTCAGGAGCCAGTTCTGTTAATTAGCTTGTCCTGGTTTTGGACAATAAGTTTTATTATGCATTTTTTGTTTGCTTTCTTCCTTAATTTCCTTGTAATATGATTTTGAGTTTTCACTTTTAAGTATTTTTTTTTGTGATGTGATTTTGTCATTTATTATGTGATACATAATAATTTGTTTAAAAACGTAAGATAAAATCTGTCTCCCTAGACTGAAGGTCATTGGATTGTTGTTCTTACTATTGTTACTATTACTCTCTCTAAGTCTACTTCTGTGTCTCTCTTTTTAGACCTCACCTAGATACATCAGCAGAGCTGAGGTATTCTGTGGGCTCCCTGGTTGATAGTCAGTCTGACTATCGATCAACTAAAGTGATAAGGCGACCTAGAAGAGGACGGATGGGCGTACGCAGAGATGAACCAAAGGTTAATCCACAATCACTTCTCAAATATTCTCTGATAAGAGAATGTATTTCAGGCTGTTAAGCTTACAGTTTGTGTATTTCCATAAAAACAACAACAACAACAAACCAACAACCCACCAAAAAAAAAAACCAAAACAACAAAAAAACCCACACCCAACTAAATCCAAATGGCAGGGTATTTTTCTATGCATACTCAGAGAAGTACTGTTATACTAAAATGAAGGCAGAAGAGGTTAAAGTTCAGACATCAAAGTTTACGCATACCTGACTGTCTGTCTTTTCTAGGGACCTCTGTGTAAATTTTCCTGATGGTTGATTTTACACAGAGTTAAAAATTATGTTAAAATACTTTACATCATTTACAGCAATATTGCAAGTGTTAATGTAGCATTAATCATTGACTAGGTATTCTTAAATGTTGGTTGCTTGCCTTTCCCATTTTAGAGAAGCTCAATTTTGCATTTTTTTTCCATGGAGTAAGCCATATGCATCTTAATTCCTTCTCAGGTAAAATCACTTGGAGATCACGAGTGGAATAGGACCCAGCAGATTGGTGTATTGAGCGGCCATGCATTTGAAAGCGACACTGAAATGTCTGACATCGATGACGATGATAGAGAAACGCTTTTCAGCTCCATGGACCTCCTGTCACCAAGCGGCCATTCCGATGCCCAGACTCTGGCCATGATGCTTCAGGAGCAGCTAGATGCAATCAATAAAGAAATCAGGTATGCAGCCTGAACCAGCTGCCATATACTCGTGATTTCAGCTTCAAGCTTCTCTTAGTGCATAAGTTCAGGTACCGTTCATAACAATTAGGAAACCACTTGTACATTTAAAGAACTGATAATGTGTCTGTTTTTCTTATGAGGGTATTGATTGTGTGAAGATAACAATGGCATCTTCACTTCCTAACCAGAGGAATTTCTTTCAAAAACTGTTCCAAGTGAAGAACTGCTGGCCAGTTGAAAAGAAATACATTAGAGAATGCTAACGTGGCATATTTGGCAGATCGGTATTCATAGTCCTCTTTTCAAAGTCTTTTTCACTGCTCTGCATGACTCCTCTTACTGACTAATGACCTCCTATCAGAAATGTTTTATTTCATTGCTCTTCATGCTTTCTTCTGATAGTTATTCCTATGTTACATCTCACATTAGCCACGTTTTCTAATACATAGTTTTGATTTTCTGTAGACATGTTAGATGTAATTTTTCGTGCTCCAAGTTGATGTATAATGCTTGGAAATAGGTGGCAAATTGCATGTATCTTAATAATTTATGTGCAAATTTAATGACGTGATAGAGAATCCAATGAAATATTTTGATTAAGTGAGTTTTAGGCTTAAAGCTTTCTTCATGATTCTCAGGAAGGGAAAATTTTAAAAACTTGGTATATGAAAGAGATCCACTCATGAATAACTTTTTCTAGAAGGAGATGAAGGAGATTACTGAATGTATTAGTGACTTTCTGGTAATACTGTAGACAGAAGGACTGTGGTTAGAAATATAATCAAAACTAGATTACCTTTTGCCAGATCTCAGTCATTTTCTGAGCAAGGTGTCTTTAAAGGGAGAACAGTATTGGAATATATTGAATTTGAATAACCATTCTGTTCACACGGGAGACTTTTTGTTATAGATCTACAGCTTTGCCTTTTTGCTACTCCGAGAATTTCTTCATTCAGATAGGATTACTAGGCTATTTTCTAATATCTGTTATTGCAGCTGGCAGGATGGAGTCAGAGGAATTTTGTTGTCGAGAGGGTAAATCTCCTTAAAACAGTGTTTTTAAAGGAGAGAACCTTGTCCATATTTTCTGTTATTACAAAGAAGTCAGCACTGTGACCAATGCAGGAAGATGAAGATGCAACAAATGTATTTGTTTCAAAAAAATACTAGCATTTTGAGAATTTAACAGGTAATTATGTAATACAGTAAAAGGTTTTAACTATAAGTTTTGACTCCAGGTGACATAGTGGGACATTGTTTGTGCCGTCCTGAATTAGAACACTGTTTTACCAAACACAGGATCTTAACGTAGATGTTTTTTCTCAAAATCGAAGCAAGAGTGCACACTGTGTATAGCCATTTTTGCTGGAGTTACACTGAGAGCAGTTTATTTCCCTTACAGCAAAGCTTATACTGAAGTCTAAGCTTTCATTACCACTACCATCATTATTAAAGAACCAGGAAACTGATTTTCTATTCTTTTTTTTCATTACATTTCAGGAAAAATTATTCTACAAGGATAGTATTATAAATTAGACTGCGTTTCACATTTTCTTGGTTTGTGGGGGTTTTTTTTGATAAATGGTATAAGAGTGTATCAAATGATTGGAGATATCAAGAGAGATTAACAATTTATTTTGCTTTAATTTGTTTTACTATGTAAGAGGACTCTGACTCTAGATTACTAAAATGAAAAATATTTTTACAATTGTCTTTAAAAATATTATTTGCCTTTAAGTTCCTGCCATGCCTCATTTCAGAAAGAACTGTAGACATTTTATAGAAATTTTGAAATGGATGTAAGGGGAAGAGATTTATCACAGCACAAGAATTTGTAGGTTTGTATTTTCAGTGTATTATGGTTTCATTTATAGTACATGTTTCATTTGTATTCTCCCATTTAACCTTGATCCTTCACACTTTTTCCTTCTCTTTGCTAAAAAAAAAAACCAACACCCCACAACACAGCTCTTTCTAACATGGCTTTATGGGCAAAGCACTTAGAAACAAATATTCTATTGTAAACACGTTTTATCATTTGTGGTACAATCAGCATTAAAAACCAAAGCTAAAGAACCCAGTGGAAGCATTATATTGAGGCTATATATGTTTAAGAAGCTTAAATTTGTTGTTAACGAGAGGTATTTTAAGGAAAATCACTTAAAAACTCAGTGTTTTAGAAACAACTGTCATTTTTTCATCAATTTCTAGGGATGAAATGGATAAATTGTTTTGCATGTTCTCTTGGTTTATTAATATGGATTATCTTAGCAATTCCTGTCTTAAAGCTCTGGTTTTATTTGACTCTAAATTTGTGTTCATGCTTTAAAAACCGAAAATCAGATGAAGCCAACTTAAATTGGAATTAGTTTCCTAAGGTAAATCGGATTGTTAACTCCCCCTCCCCTATACTGTCTCCTTTGGAAAGGAACAAATCTTCCTGAAATGTCACATGTCAGGTCTTGTTGTTGGGCAGATTCCTCAAACAGTTTTTGAGGATGGAAGAATTAAGAAAAATAATTTTATAATTCCAGTGATTAAAAAATGCACTTTTCAGTATTATTTTGGAGTTGACCTGTGATATTCATCTTTACTTTCAAATCTCATTTGAAAGGAAACTTTTTTTTAGCTTTGCTTTTTTAGTATGCAGAGACAAATACATCCATGTTCTTTTATTTAATAAGGCTAATCCAAGAAGAGAAAGAGTCGACAGAACTGCGAGCTGAAGAGATAGAGAACAGAGTGGCCAGCGTGAGTCTGGAAGGCTTAAATCTAGCCAGAGTCCACCAAGGTACCTCCATTACTGGCTCAGTAACAGCATCATCACTTGCAAGCTCCTCTCCTCCCAGCGGACACTCAACTCCTAAACTCACCCCTCGCAGTCCAGCCAGGGAGATGGACAGAATGGGGGTTATGACGCTGGTAAGAAACCCTGTGGTGCCAATTTTAGGTGTGATATTTCTAGTATTAAATACTTCGTTTTTTCACTGTATGAATGGCTAATCTCTAATTCTTTATTCACCTCTCCATCATACATACAGATAGCAAATACTCTAGAATATGGACATACTGGGTGGGTTTAGGGTTTTTTATTGTGGTTTTGAGCATTGCATGATTCACCAAGGACATCGTGATCGGAGGAACAAGGGCCTTACGCATACAGGCAGAGGAATTAATAAGAGACAGAATCTATCATTGGAATTACTGTGATGAATTTATATGTTAAAAATGTTCGCAAATGAAAGGTCTGAAATGATGGTTATTAGACAATAGCTGTGGGACTATCAGTGATTTGAAACATCCAGAAAATGTCTAGAAGGCATTAAAGCCTTCTACTACCTCCTATATTTGATCATTTGCATATACATGTATATCGTGTATACCCTTCTATACCTGCAGTATTTTGTATGTATTCTTCATGACTGTATATCAAGCATCTGTGCTTTGTTTTCCAATAATCCGTTTAACTGGTGTACTTCAACATTACAAGCAGCACACACAAAAAGATACCAAGCCATCAAGTTATAATGCAAAGCAGTTTTAAAGGTACAGTAATTTTAGAAGACATACGCTTAAACCAGTCTGTTTTGATTTGAAAAGGGATTTGCAAAAAATTTAATTGTGGTCCTAGGCAGAAAGAAACAGCCCAGCAGCCAAGCAGGTGAAGGCAGTATGTGTTGGCGTATTCAAGATACACAACAGCTGTGATCAGAGGGCAGACACAGGGTGCCCCACAACGTGTGGGCTACCTGGGTAGAACCTGGGTGAATTCATCCCGTTCAGCACTAGGAGGCAATTAAAGCAGCACACTCTGCTGATCGCTACATGCAGGGAGGAGAATAGGCTATCTGTAACCCCATTTTTTATTTGCTATTTCTCTGATAATCTGAATGTTATCTGTGTCCCGTTGCGGCCCATTCCTGGGAAGCGGCAGTAGTGGTTCCCCGTGGAGCCTCTCAGCAGAGGGTAAATGAGCTTTGATCTCAATCAGAAAGCAGAAATTAACTCTCCTAGCCAAGAAGGTTGCTAAGAACAGCTGGGAGTGGAGCCTAGTTGTTCGGCATAGCTGTGAGTAAGGAATTTTGTCTGCTGTCATCTAGCTGAGTATTCCCTTTTCTTGGGAACTGACAGCTACTCCTGTCCACCTCTACCCCTCTCAGTTTAGCATGGTGCTTGCTGTCGTCTTTGGAACCAAAGACACCAGTTTCTTATTGCAAGACTAGGTCAGGGCTGGCAGTTGCGGCAGACTGGCCCTGATCCTTTGCTGCCCCCCGTTTCCACTGCTGAACAGCAGAAATGACAATGTTGGTGGCACAGAGCATTGTGGAGGAGGTGGGTGTGCAGGCTGCCGTGGTGCCACCCACTTCACCAAAGCAGAAACTTCCTGAATATGCCATTTGGCTCCATTCCACCAGCCATTTAAACTATGCAATCTGGCTAAACTGCTGAAATGGCTAAACTGAGCTTCCAGCAAACACCTGCACTGCCTGGCTGCCTTAATTTGGACACAGTAGCTTTGGGTCAGTAGCTTCATCAGACTGAAATACAAAATGACAGCATAGCCTCTGCACTTTGGGTTGCCATGGCCTCATTGGCATCCAGCTGTAGTTGTGCCAAAGCTCAGATGGGTGTGTCTGTATGATTTGCGTTGAACACTGGACGTACCAGAAGTGTAGGAGTAGCACCCCACTGCATGCTCAGCAGCATTCCAACAGCTTTGGTCCCTCTGTCAACCATTTCAGGACACTTCTTCAGCAGGAGTTCAGTGTTGAGCATCTCCTCCTTACTGGCTGGGGACAGACACAACAGGCTATCAGACATCTTCTAAGTGGAAACTTTGAACTGGAAAGCGTTCTGGAGGTCTGACCTCTAGAGCCCAAATTACCAAATGGTCCTGTATGGTTTGGCTGGAGAAGCATTACTGCATGAGTTTCCATAGCCCAGGTCCCTGCAGTAAATAAATTCTTTAGGGTATCCTCAGCTTTCCCTGACTGAATGAATCATCTACCAAAAATAAAAATGGAAAGAGGGTTTAACAAGACACATTCGAAGATGGGTGAGTTTATATTCACTGACTGAAAATGCCAGCCACTTTAATGTGGGATAACTGGAGAGAAAGATCCTTTTTTCAGACGTGGTATTTTTTGATGGTATTTTGTGTTTATGTGTGGTGAGACACCAATCCAATTGTAACATTAGATAAAACTAAAAAAAAAAAAAGAATCGCTGTTGGGAGTAGTGGAAGGATTTTTATGAAAACTCCAAAAATAAAAGGTGCTACTATAAGCATGTAATGTCCTATTCTTTGCTAAGCTTATGAAAATGAAGGCAATTGTAACTTTAGAAAAAGATAACTGCTTTCCCAGAATAGCATATTTGTCAGGGGTTATCTTATGTTATGACACCAAGTGTATAATTAGTGTACAATATAGGTAGTATTAAATTAATGAAATCTCTTCTTCCTACTTCTGAATGCAAGAACAACAAATGTCTGCTATTTTGTTATGCTCAAATGAGATTTACTAATTGCTCTTTTTTTATTGTTGTTACCAATCTAAGCCAAGTGACCTAAGGAAACATCGGAGAAAGGTATGATACTGTGGGGTTTTTAAGTGTGGGAGAACACGTTTATCATATTCCTCTGCTATTTAGATAACCAGGTTCCTTGCTAGCCACTGAATCCCTTTGACTCCTTTTTATTCAATTATTGAACATAATTATTTTAATCCTACCTAGAAAGGCTTACAGCGATCACAGCTGAGCCACAGAATCAAGGCCCACCAGTGATGCCTTGGAATAGTAGCCTCTGCAGCACAGACTTAAAGTAATACAGTTTTAAAAAGAAAAAAATGAGAAGACATTATATTTGAGATAAATCATTATATGTTGTGACAAAATTCCTTTTTGTTCACACTTACTTTCAAGCATTCTGGCCATTCTGTTAACAAGTTATAGAGAGTGGTCCTGTTTGTGTCTGTATTGACCTTCTCCCTTACATCCCTGAGAAACTTTGTTTACTTGAATAATCCTGTTTAATGCAAGGCGATCGCCCATGTCTAAGGTTATTTTCATATTTAGACCTTTAGTGGATCAACCTGTTTGGCATAAAAGGAATTAATTTCTTCTTCAAGTGTAATCTCTTTTCTTTCAAATATGTACCTTAAGCTGCCATATTTAGGCAATTGCTCTTTTCCAATAACCTCTTTCAAAAAAAAGAAGCTTTACAATTTGCCTAAAAAATTGCACTTGAAGCCATGCATGCTTCGCTTCACTTGACAGATTTGTGCAGCATATATTGAAAGTTTCTTGAAAAGGTAATCTGTGCTCAATGGAGTCTCTCTCCCCCAGATTGCAGTAGTTGAAGAAGATGGGCGTGAAGATAAAGCCACAATCAAATGTGAAACTTCTCCACCTCCCACACCCAGAGCTATCAGAATGACTCATACCCTTCCTTCTTCATACCACAATGATGCCAGAAGGTAAGATGTTTGGGACATGAATTGGTACTTCAGTTTTACCACGTATTATTCTTTTCAAATCATGTTGTTGTTTAACTATTCCAAAATGACCTGATTTCTTCCTGTTTCTTCTTGGCAGTGTTTCCCCTGCCATGAGAGAGAAAGCCTTACCCTTTGTCTCTTGCATGACCCTGAGAATGTTTGTCAGTGCTAAAATACATGCTGGATATTTCTGGTTTGAGGTACAGTTTTGATCACTACTAGAAGTAGTGTTACTGCAAATCCTAGAAAGACAGACAGCAGGCTGATTCCTGTATTTTTCATCAATTGTTCTTAGCAAAGTATTTATCTTTAGACCTTTTTTTTTTTTTTTTTGTAAGGCTCAGTCAGCCTGATGCAGAAAATGTGCTTCGGTATTGCTTTACATGTCGCTAAGTCATCTAAAAGTGTGATTGTTTCACGTGCTGGGGGATCATTACTAAAGTATAACCAATTAATTTATTCGCAGAACTGCTCAGAAGAATGTAAAAAATTACCTGCAAATGTTTGACGTGTTATCTATTCCCTTTCTTTATTATCATTTTGTAGTAGTTTGCCTGCTTCATTGGAGCCAGAAAGCATTGGTCTTGGCAGTGTCAGTAGCAGCCAGGACTCCCTGCACAAAGCTCCCAAGAAGAAAGGAATCAAGTCTTCGATAGGACGTTTGTTCGGTAAAAAAGAGAAGGCTCGACTTGGACAGCTCAGTAAGGGATTAGTGGTAACAAGCCAAGGTCACCATCTCACAGTCATTTCTCCATTTTTGATTTTGCTTCATTTCCAATTGGCTTATTTTTCTCTTTTGTCTGGCAGAACTTTCCCATTAAACTTCATTGCTATCACTAATTATATTTGTCATGAGTGTGTTACAACACAAATGATAGGAGACTTCTGGCACAAATTACTAGTCATTCTTTTCACTGAACCTACTGCTTCAGTAGGCTCTTGAATTAGGGTAAAAGTGCTAACAGTGTATTCTCAACGAACCAAAATGAAGAGGAGGTGAGAAAGTAGTAAGTAATAAACCACTATAAGGGGTGTAGCTGTGTGATATGGAAGGTCTTGCACTTGCTTTCAGGGACCTTGCTTTTCAGAATTCAGAGTGTCAATAAATGTCTGCTGGTGCCTATCACTGAATGTCCTCACCATACTCTTCCAATTAGTTATGCAGCTCATGGTAGTGCTTTGTTTTCTTCCTACTTCTGCGCTTTTCCTTGCCAAGACCTTAGCTTAATTCATTCCTGGTGAAAATTTTCCACTGTGGTATTACATAGGATATGTCTCTACCCCATGCAAAAAAAAAAAAAAAATTAAAAAAAAATCAATCTTTAACTTTATTGAACTACCTGAGGTAGCATAAGCAATGGAAGATGAAGTGACAGTCTCTTTTTTTTTTTCCCAGACAGGCAAATACATCCGTAGCTGCGCTCCATGTTGCCAGGCTATTTGATTTAGCATATATACACATGCCAACACAAACACCAAATAGGTATAGATGTGTCAGTAAAACAGAAATCCTACATCTTTCCTAGTCATTACGATGTCACATAGTACAGACTTGTGAAGCACTACTGCCATGGTGACCACATAACACCTGTAAAAGAATTTAAGGGTAGGCAGTAACTGTAAATACTTAAGCAATATTTAAGACTGAAATTAAAAAAAACTAATTCATATTAAAACATGTTCTTATCACAACTAACAAACCCATCACTAAAATCATACAGAATAAAATAAAGTAATATTAAGGTCAAAGTGTCAGAGTAAAATCAGATAGCTGAGCATTCTCCTTTTATACTCCAACCTTCCTCCTCTCTGCCCGTGTGGACCTTGTATTCTTGAAAAAAACCCAACTAATTTGTAATTGCAATTTAAATTCCATTTTTTCTCACTATGGGAAGAATGAAACTGATTTATTCAATCTTTTTCATAGTTTAATGTATTTCAGAATCTATTAAATGAGTCTCTCCAATACACCTGCATCTTACAGTCTGTACTGATGGAGAATTTTATAACTTTAGACTGTGTTATTAATTCACATTTACATTCTATAAAACCAATTTTATTGATACTGATGGATTATGCATAGTAATCTATGATTTCATAGTAACCCAGGAACATAGAGGACAAAGATGTAATAAATGTGTTGGTTGTCCCTGCAGTTTCTTGCAATGTGGAACAAAAATAAAATTACAACTTTAAAGACTATCTCAGGAGCAATGTAATCTGGCAGTAGATTAATTTCTTAATAATACCCACCATGATTAATAAGACGTATGTATAATTGGATAAAGCCTATTTTTAATTCCCAACACTATCTCATGAAATTGCAAAAAAAGATATTAGTGAGGATTTGCAATTAAATGAAATTTTTGTGGCTTCCATCCTTGAACTCAACAGCAAAGATGTCAGTAAAATGCACATTTGAATTAAGCAAATTAGGTTTACATGCATGCATGAAATTAAGACTAGGGCAGTTACCTGACCAAAAAATAGAAGCAAAGTATCTTTAGAAATTGAAATGACATTAAGTAGGAATCATTTCCTGCTATCATTTCACACTGAATGATAGGGTAGTTATTTCTCATCTTTATTTTTAAGATGCCAAAAGAAAAACAAATATTGGGTGTTAGTTTCCATTCAGTGGCAGTACTTTAAAGACAAAACAAAATTTTTAAAATAGCAATCATGGTAGTACTTGAGTCAAGTCCATGATAGGTACGCTCTCTGTGCAGCTATATAATTAATAGTTCTGTTTATATTAGAATCATCGAATGGATACTATATCACAGAATTAGATACTATATCACAGAAATCTAGATTGTAGGTACTATCATTACTTCACTGCAGTATGTCTGTATGATTTTCATAGCCTAAATTTATAATGAAAAATCAATAAAAACTTTATTTAATTCTTTGATTAAATTAAACATTCTAATTCGACCTAGGTGCATAGTTCTTATATTTTTTTAATATGGAGAATACCTTTTCTTTGATAGCACATCAAATACTAAAGAGCTAATAAACGTAACTTTGCATCTCGGAAACATTATTTTCTTTTTTTATTTGCACTTGCACACAATTAGACTTAAAGAAGCACTTTAAAACTTCATGTCAATGCAGAGGGTATTAGGGATCCAATGATATTATACACTGTAAGGGCATGTAATATCTCTGTAACTAATTCTATAATTTCTGTAAAAGCACATGTAATATATTCTCATATTTATGAAGCAGTATTGGAACCTCCAAAGCTTTATCACTAACTTCAACAGATCCAGGCTATCACCCAAAAGATGTCCTTGCTCTGTATTCCCTGCAAAACTCTGAAATTAGTTTTCAACTGCTAAACTTGCCAAAGTTTCCTTATTTTATAATTTGCTACTTTTACCATCTTTGCTAAACCATTTGCTTTTTTGTTCAAAGGCAAATTCATGCCCTAGGACATCTTTCTAAGAATCAAGATTCAAGATTTCTAGGTTCTTCAAGTTTTCTTCTAATTGTTGGAGAAGGGAAAAGAAATGTTATGGAGAGCATGAGTGCCTTTTGTTTATTTATATATTTGTTGGATTATTTGTTTTATTTTAAACTTATCCAGTCTTCTCTCCCTTGGGGAATACCACACTAGACACTTCCATACTCTTCCTGTGTTACATTTTAAATATCCCAGTCCCTAAAACAAATGATACATTGCAGGGATTTTTAGCCCAGCCAAGCTGATCTGTATGGTGCATGCAAAGGTCAGCTTGTTAGGAAACATTTACATGGCCATCTGCATGCCCAAGGTACCAGCAGGCACAGTCACCACATCCAATACAATGTACCCAGGGTTATACAAAGGGCCAGATGTGCTTGTCTTACAGTGAAGTCCATTATGCCAAGCAAGATTGCTTTCTAATTTGTGATGAACACTCATTACGCTGCACTTATACCCTCTCTGTCTAACATACTACGAGCTCTGTCTCAGAAAGGTGAGATCTATTAATACAGCAGTTTCCTAAATTAAAAACTCACTCCAGAGTCAGCAAGAAACGTTTCAGGAGATATTCTGTAAAACTTTGAAAGGCAGATGAGGTAAAGCAAAATAAACATTTGTTTTCTGCATTTGTGATTGGGGTCATCATGAGACTTGAAGTAGTAGTGTCCTCTTAAATAAAGAAGAATTCTGTCTAGACTAGAAGGAATGTTAAAACTGCACCTGCTTTTAAAGGACAGCTTAAACCCAGGCTTTTCTGAGTTAGTGTTATAAACATGATACGGCAGTAGACATCTCCAGGGAGACCTAGGAGGTGCTTCACTTCTCTGACAGATTGTTTGTGTCATCTTTGGCTTGGGAGTTTGCAGGCATAATGACATCAAAGCCTCTGTGAGAGCAAAATGAAGACTTTAGTATTAAGACATTAAGTGATGGTGTATTATATCAGTAATAATGAGACAGTTCTTGAGAAGGCACTTTCATTTGTACATTTCCCAACTAAGATTAAAAGAAGGTGAGGGCATTGCCTTCTTAATACCGTGAGACTGAGCCTTAGGACACAAAGGAAAACAGGAGAAGGAAATCAGGGTGCTCCTCTCAAATTTCTGCTAAACACAAGGAGGAGAAAACAGTTTTTCCCTCTACTTCTACTCCTCTGCATGTAGTAAATACGCTCCAGAATTTACTTCTGTAGGTGATAATTTTCTCCACAAATATCAGATGTCATGACTTCAGGAAACATACATAGATGTTGGTGTTGGGTGGAAGGGGGATTGAAGGGTTGAGAAGGGTAAAAACTGGGAAGGAGCTATGGGAAAATACAGCGTTTGTTTTGGTATGTTTTCCAGGAGGTTACATGGAAACAGAGGCAGCAGTGCAGGAGTCTCTGGGATTAGGGAAACTTGGAACTCAAGCAGAAAAGGACCGAAGACTAAAGAAAAAGTGAGTATCTTTTTCATGTGATTTTCATTGGCTCAGACTTGATGCAAATGTCAGGTGTTGTGTTGGTTTTATGCAGACAGGTTAGGAGAAGCGAGACCATCTACTATTGCAGTTAAGCAGTTAGCGGGGTTTTTTCCAACGTATTTAGTTTATAAAGCTGCATGTAAAAGGTAGGGAAAAATATTTATTAGAGCCTGTCAATCGTACAATATTGTTTCATTTGTGAAAGAACATAGATTTATGAGAGACATTTTCTATTTTGCATTGTCATAAATTCCGTGCCTTTTGCCTTCCGGTTGCCTTCTGTGCAGTTCTTAAAAAATAGGCAAGCATTTAATGACTCTCTACACAGATTTTTTTGTTTGTTTGTTTTTTCAGAAGGGAAAAAAGGGGATTGCGTTATCTATAACATATGATTATTTTTGTCTATGGAAGTCAAAGGCTCCAAATAAACCCGAGAAACTTCACTTTCCTTTTGCCTAGCAGCAAATAGCGACCTAGCTTTTTGTTTGCACAAATTATATAATAATTTAATGCTGTCTTTGGTTTAACAAGGAGGAGCACCAGTACACTGACTCATAGCAGCTGCCAGGAGCTATGGAGAACTATTGAGATAAAACTACAAACACAAAAGAAACCCCTTGGCAGCATCATAGTTCCAGTGTAATTAGAGGGTGTCAGAGAAAAAAGATGGTACTTAAAAATGACTTTACAAATTAATTATGTAAACAAACAGGTTTATTTTTCATCCGTAATAATTACCTTTCGTACTATTATTTAGATTCTGAAAGCCTCATTTTTAAAATCTGCATGGTTTTCAGGTTTCTTTCAGTCTTTTAATGTTTCTTTGCAAAGTTTCAAGAGAGTTTGCAATTCTAATCCAAAGAATCCAGGGATAATGTTTCAGCATCTCTTTAAATGTATATGTAGAATATTTTTAATCACTACTTCATATCAAGCTCCTGATGAAACATAACTTTAAATGTACACATCCATGTAATGTACAAATGTAAATCAGCCTCAGCTTAGCAATGGAGATAGAGAAGCAGGCATTGTGCAAGCCGAGAGAGAAGAAATGTTTTAAATTAAATTAAGAAATTCGCAGTAGCATTCACCGAGATATTGCAGTTGATGAGTGTTGTTCCTGCCTTTCCTATCTGTATATTTCTATTGCCCATTAGTCATTTGGAAATAGATGGACATAATGGGTATATTACTATGCTTGTTTTACTGAATCTAGATAGCATCTTTGAGACTGTCATTACCATTCAAAGAGTATCATTGAATCTTCAGCAGCCTTTTTTTTGCAGTCCCTTTTTATCTTCTAGCTCCAGGGCTGAAGGTACCACAGTAGTCAAATCACTTTGAACGGCCAAATGTGTTCATTTTGTTCACTTTCTCATATGTTAGTTCTTTAAAATAACATAAGACCTGATGCATACTACTGCACACATGACATGAGTACTTCACATATGAGAATGCCCAACAAGTTTTGGGTCTGGAAATAGTATGTGCACAGGTAATCCGTTATTGGACTTCTGCCTATCTCACACAATTAGACTTTTCCATGCTTTCTGCTTTTCAAGTCTTTCCTTCTTTTCTCCTGTGTCTGTCTGTCCTTGGTTTTTTATGGATTAGATATAATCAAAATGTTCTCTGCTGGAAGGAAAGGAATCTTTCCTTTGTGTCTATGGCTATTAATCTAGTCTGAACTCTATACTATTTATCCTAAGTATATGTTATATACCTGTGTCATGAAGATCATCTTTTTTTCCCTATTCCTTTAGTTTTGACTGTCTTCTTAGCTTCTCACTTTGAAATCCTTACAACTGCTTTTAAGATCTCTCTTAATTTACTATCAGAGGAAGTTTAACATACATTGTGAGTTTATGTATATATCTTATAGTTTTAAAGAAATTGTAATATGGGAAAAAGAAACATTCTGTGTTAGAGATACGAGATTCTACTGAATTGTCATCATCAATATGGTGTAAGAGAATTAACATTTCCTTGTAAAATGTGCAGTCATGTGTCTGCATCTCTTACCTTGGAAAGTATTAAGTTGAAGCAGTTCAGAAAATGGACTGTGAAATGTTTGTCTCAGTAGGTCAGATTCCTTTTACCAGCACTTAATGCATAACTCCCTCTGGAATTAGAGCCTTCACATACATGGAGTAGCTGCAAGATTACTGATCTGGGAAATAACATGCTGTGTAACATCAAGGATGATAGTAACGTGTATGAGGTTTTTATAAGAGGTAATAAGAGAAGTCTGAGAATCGTTTGCTATCTCGTGATGCAGTAGTAAGATTTAAGTCCAAGCATTTGATTCTGTTTTACTGCTAAACAAAACTGCTATACAAATTCTGCAGAGACAGTGAGCCCAATTGCTGGGACAGAAAGAGCAGAGCACTTTACCCTGCAAGGATTTCTATGGCTTGTTTAGATCGGGGCATAAAACCCCAAGAGAACCAGGCCTGCCATAAGGAGCATAGGCTAAAACAAAGAAGCACTTCTTTGTACTACATTTCAAGTCTGGGAGAGCTTTACTTACGCTGACTGTCACTTCCTTAAAACAAACAAACAAACCAAAAAAAAACCCATCATGCTTCAAATTGTTGGCTGCTGCAGGCAGAGGTACTAATGGTGTCCTGGCCGCCTGTTCCCTGAGTAGCCAGCACGTGCATGGACCTTGCTCTCACCTCGTGGAGTTACAAACACACTGCAGCGTGTTAGAGTATTTTAGCACAATTTACACGCGTAGATGAGATGACTGAATAATGCATTTCACTCTGAAAAGTTTCATGAGAGAATATGATAATTCTGGAGAACAAATCTCTCTCTGGTGATTATAGTGTCATTAACCTAAATTTCAAAGTTTTCCTGTTTTTTCCTTAGAAGATGCTATTTAGATGTAAAATTTCTTTCAGTTTCAATTGACTACTTAGACATCATTAAAATGTAATTAACAGTTTGTCTCAATGATATGCTAGACAGTTATAAACCTCAAACAAGCATCTCTATTCATCCAACATTTGGTTATTACAGTAGATTTATTAGGAACAAGTCATTCTGCTAAGGCATCAAAGAGTAATTAAGGAAGCTGTGTAGAATTTTTAAATTAGACCCAACATGTTCCTGAAATCATCTAAAAAGCTGAACTTAAGTTGCCTGACTCATACATTTACTGTCAGACATTAAATATATGACAGCTTTAGTTAAGATTAAAAGTTTTTAAGTCTTACTATTTGTAAATTGAGCATGCAGTCCTAGAAAACAGAAAACTAATGGCAGGCGTATTTAGAGCATTTAAGGTGCTATTTCATTGTTTGTTGAAAACAAGCGATGTTGCAGTGTGACGAAGAAAAATGCACTGCATTTTTATTATTTAACCTAGCCTTTATGTTCCACTCCACTTGTTCTATGCAAAAGCTGTTAATACTTTCTATATAATGTCTTCTGCCTTTTGTCTGACTCTGGGAGCCTGTCTGTGTAGGGAGTAACTTTTTCAGAAAACTCAGAGTTTAGGACTAAAAGTAGTAATGGTGCTGATACCCTCTGTGTCACCATTACATTAATTTGAGTCTCCTGATGATTCAAATGATTTGTATTCATGTAAATCATAAACTTTATTTGGTTAAAGTGTACTCTTCTGAAGGCACCCTTCACTGAAATGAAGAATGGAGCTTTTCTCTGGGTTTTGATTTTTTTCTAGTGGTTGACATGTCTCCCTGTGAAAAACAGTTACCCGATTTCCAATTCTGAATTTTGTAGTCAACTCCAGCTATCATTTCCCTGTGACTGTGTATAGACTACCCAGCTGTTCTTAATGTCATCCTCTGTGGGTCATTTTCAACCAAATAAGATGACGGTATACAGTAACTTGGCCTTGGCATTCACTCAGGTTTGTCATGATAGCCCAAGCCTGGGACCCAGCGTGGGAAGTTTCGGGTCAGTCCAGTTCCTATCGCAATTAATAAAGGTTCGTGGAGGGTTTGGATACAGGCGTAGTGTCCTCTGGGACTGCAGAAGTTGATCGGTGTGTGTCCCACAAGACAATTCGTCCTCAGAAAAAGAGTAGATAGCACTGTGCCTAAAATCAAATAATCTATGTCCCCCTTAAAAGCATATATTCCCACTGATCTCATCTGAGGCAGCAAATTAAAGGACTTAAAGGAGGGTCTGTAAATGCTTTACTGCCCTTTTCACTAAAATACTGAATGATAAATCCTTTATAAAAATCTTCTTCAACAATTAACTCACCCAAACTTGAAATATTGTCAACAAATAGAGCCACCTTTGCTTCCCTTTTTGCTATAACTGTCCTAGTGAAGGTCAATTGTATTGTCCCTGTTCACAGTTTTCTCAGGAGTGATGTCAAACTGTCCTTACCTAAAAGCCTCAGCGGTGGCAAATACAGCTTTACAGACTTGCTTTGTCTTTCCGGGTGCATTACCATTCTGAGTGCCAGTAACACACAGCTTTTTCACATGTAAAGTTTGAGCTGACCTGCTACAATACACAATGTGGCAGCAAATAGGCATCTGCCTGAAGAAGGAGACATGATAGACGAGACCTACATGTCTCCTGTGTTACATAAAAGTATGTAATGGTTGGTCATAATCACTGATATTTCACAGGATCTGTTTGTTTCATCCTGCACAATGCACCATCGTAAGTCAAGGTCCGAATAAGTGCTACGTAGTCCTAGATTGCCACTCGGAGGTGGATTTGACCTCGTGCATGCTGCTAGTACAGTCTGAGATTGTCCTATGCCATCACTTCCTCAGCAATCCCAAATACAAATGTGCTCCATGAAAAAAACCTTCATATGCAAGTCAGCTAGCCTGGATCATAGTGACAGGGTTCCAGACAGAAACTGATAAACTCCCCACTTCATTAACATGAGTGTTCAAGTAACAGTCATTACTATCTCACGGCCAAAGAATTACTGCACTGTGTCACAATGCTGTCACTCTGAGACAATCTGGCAGTGTTGG